CAAGAGAGAGAGAGAGAGAGAGAGAGAGAGAGAGAGAGAGAGAGAGAGAGAGAGAGAGAGAGAGAGAGAGAGAGAGAGAGAGAGAGAGAGAGAGAGAGAGAGAGAGAGAGAGAGAGAGAGAGAGAGAGAGAGAGAGAGAGAGAGAGCGAGCGAGCGAGCGAGCGAGCGAGCGAGCGAGCGAGCGAGAGAGGGAGAGCGAGAGAGATGAGTACGAGATAAGTGAGAGAGAGAGAGAGTGAGAGAGTGAGAAAGAGAGAGAGAGAGAGAGAGAGAGAGAGAGAGAGAGAGAGAGAGAGAGAGAGAGAGAGAGAGAGAGAGAGAGAGAGAGATACGAATGCCGACATTACTTCTCGTCCTCGTGTCGCGTCACGACAATGCATTTTACCTCGTCCTCGTGTGTTTATCTTACCGGACTATCATCTATGGATCCACTTATGAAAATGATGTTTAGGCGTGTCGGATAGCAAGCCCTGTCACCTCTGGCAAATTTCAGTCAACTCACCTCATCAAGCAGAGTCTGCCGTTTCTCATCACTGTGTTGCAGGCAAATAGCCAAGCTAAGCAATGCTACCAAGGTCCGCGATGCTCCAGGATGGAGAACCCAACGAAGGCAGCGAGCCCAGAAACAAGACAGAGTACTTTCATGACAAGTAGAACGATCCTAACAGCCACGCACCGCTCTACAGACTACTGTCCTCCTAGCCTCAAGCAGCCACACTTCACTTGGCAGGGCACCGTCTCGGCTATTAGTCACACGAGGCTGGCCCCCTTCTTCAGTATCGCTCGTTACCACAGGGGTGCGCTTCTGTGCCGGACTCGTTCTTGAGACGAGGAGCAGCTCAGTGGCTAGAATAGCTGCCGATACAGACACAACTCGGCAAAGAAATTTACCCACTACGTAATGGGCTCTGCGGCTGGCCTCACTTTGTGAGGTGCGGATACCGGAATTGCCGCCTAGAGCGGTTCACCCCGGCGGACCGCCGGGCAGGTCTTGAGCCTGGAGCAGCGTATCCCTTCAACAAGTGAGGCCGGGTCTGCTCAAGAACAATCCGAGTTTGTTCGCACGCTAAACGCTCTGCCACGATACCAGGCAACACAGGTGCATCAACAAACAGTGCTTAAAAACGCTTGTTGTACTAGGCCCTGGCTCAATTTCTCTGTTCTAAGTGAAAGTCTCCAACTCCCTCCGAATGTCGCCGAAACGCCATTGTCGCACAGAGCCTGACGCCATGCCAGCGATGACAGGGGGCAGTGAAGAGGAGCAGGACGGCTCGGAAGCGGAGGCTGTCGACTTAGGTGAAGAGTCGGAGACGGATTCACTATTTCGATCCTCCCCAGACGAGATGCCCACGGCGCCAGCGCGAGACACTCTGCTGCGCCCAGCAGCAAAGGCTCGCACTGGACGACGAGAGGAAGGAGGCCTTCCTACCACGCCTGCCCCGAACTCGTCCATCGCTTGGAATGGGGTGCCTCCCTACATTAGCCCGGCCGGGCCACCACCACCATCACGCAGTGGAACGGACTTCCCACTCCCGGGAACAAGGCCAATGCACGAGGCTGCGCCCCCAGTGTATACGCCGGGGGGAAAGGCTGCAACTCTGGAGCTTGACGCTCAGCCCAGGGCCGGTAGTGGTCATTCAAGGTGTTCCACGCCGCACCTGGTTCTTCCAGCTGCAACAGGGGCACGTCCACAACTACGAGGGGCCGGCTGGACCTCATCAACACGTCCTCGTCTCCCCGATCCACACGCTTACTGGCCCACCAGTTCCAGTGGTGGGATACAGCACGCTTGAACAACAGGCAGAGTCTGGCAGTTCAGCTCCTGGACGCTGAACACTGGCCAGTTTTTTTCTATTTCTTTAATCTTACAGCCGAACCAGACTCAATCTGAGCACTGCTCAGCTGGTGAGGAGCACTGCTCCCATGTACAAAAGTAACAAACACCGACGATTGAGAGATCGCACAGCGCTGGGGAAAAAGCAGGTCTTAACATTATTGCAGTTTGAGACCGTTTCTTCACCAGCCATGTAACTAGCGAGGATCGCCTCACACTGAATCCGGGAGGCCCAGCCCAACACCCACTGCTGCAAATCTGCAACAGTGACTGCTCTACGGTCCTCTGCCTCCCTGCATTAATGATCCATGTGGGACGCCACAAGATGGACATTGAGGGAGACGGCCAATCAGGTACGACCCACTTGCAGGAAGGTGCGTGTCTACTGGACGCTGTGAGACACAGTAGGATGACGGGAGCTACAACTTTTTCACCCATAGGACAGCTAGCTAACAAGCTACAGCTCTTGCTCAACACTCAAACCAAGTCAAGAAGCTCGCCTCGTCTCACACTGATCTACACCTAGTGAATTCGGTTTCACCTCTCCAACCGCAGCTCCAAACTAATTTTCGGTGCTCAGAACGGTGCGAATCGCCCGCAATGAGCAGAGCCCGCTCGCTCAGCGTTCAATAATTGTAGTACTAGTAGTCGTCGTAGTAGTAGTAATAGTAGTAGTAGTAGTAGTAGTAGTAGTAGTAGTAGTAGTAGTAGTAGTAGTAGTAGTAGTAGTAGTAGTAGTAGTAGTAGTAGTAGTAGTAGTAGTAGTAGTAGTAGTAGTAGTAGTAGTAGTAGTAGTAGTAGTAGTAGTAGTAGTAGTAGTAGTAGTAGTAGTAGTAGTAGTAGTAGTAGTAGTAGTAGTAGGAGTAGTAGTAGTAGTAGTAGTAGTAGTAGTAGTAGTAGTAGTAGTAGTAGTAGTAGTAGTAGTAGTAGTAGTAGTAGTAGTGTAGTAGTAGTAGTAGTAGTAGTAGTAGTAGTAGTAGTAGTAGTAGTAGTAGTAGTAGTAGTAGTAGTAGTAGTAGTAGTAGTAGTAGTAGTAGTAGTAGGTAGTAGTAGGTAGTAGTAGTAGTAGTAGTAGTAGTAGTAGTAGTAGTAGTAGTAGTAGTAGTAGTAGTAGTAGTAGTAGTAGTAGTAGTAGTAGTAGTAGTAGTAGTAGTAGTAGTAGTAGTAGTAGTAGTAGTAGTAGTAGTAGTAGTAGTAGTAGTAGTAGTAGTAGTAGTAGTAGTAGTAGTAGTAGTAGTAGTAGTAGTAGTAGTAGTAGTAGTAGTAGTAGCTAGCCGCCACACGGATCAGACGGCCGGGCACTTGCATCCTGGAAACCGGGCTTTGGGCGCAACTGCTGTCCTAGAAGTTCAACCGGTCCTCAGGGGAACGTAACAGCTTGTGCCTGACTGTGAGCCATGGTGAGCCGAGATCTTTGAGCCGTCTGATCTGCCGGGGGCCTCCTGAGCACAGATTTTGCAGCCACTGCAGTCTTTCAGGGGGTAGGCGAGAGGGTTTCCACTGCTCCGCAAGGTGGAGTACCCACAAGAAGCAAACGCAGACTGTTTCAGGTGGGGAAAAGATAGCGGATGGCGGTACCTTCGAAGCACCAAGACAATTTTCGGAGCATTCGTAAAGTTGCATTCAGGAGAGCATGTACCTTAGTTTCACGCACTCAGCAAAGTGTTTCTTACAGGAAAGGGATCTTGACGCCGGCATACGTGGAGAGAAGCGGTCTGCACCCCTCACTTGCCGATAGCGACAGAGGGATCGACACAGTCGACGCCCCCCGCTAAGCGCACAGCGCCCCGACCCAGAGGAGGCAACATGGTCAAACCACTGAAGGAGGTATTGACTTGGAACGCCGGGCACTTAGGTCAGCAGCAATGGGCTGAGCTTCGCACCTGGTTGCGTACTGCATCAGATCAGTATGATGTGATTGCTCTGCAAGAGACGCACTGGCAGGAAAGCACAGAGTTTGACGTTGAGGGGTGGCATTGCATAAGCTCAGCCAGCAAAGGCAAGGCCAAAGCTCCCAAAGCAAAAAGTAAACCTACGTCAGATCACAACTCTTCTGAACAGCCAGGCACACAACCGCAGGAAGAGCGTGTTCACGATGACAAGAGGGCAGACGGAGTCATGATACTCACGGCCCCGCACATTCCCAAAGCTACCATAAGATGGAGCGAGCATCACAAAGGGAGGGTCTTAGAAGTGGTCTTTCAATGGAAAGGCGCACGCGTGCACATAGTGTCGGTGTATCAGCACGTTTGGACCACCTCCAAAACAGCCCAGCACAACCGAGAGGATAGATCGAAGTGTCTTTGCTTAGGATTTTGGGGTCTGGAAGGGGAGTGGATGGGATGTGAAGATGGGGGTGATGGAGTGATGATCTCTCACGCCTCAAACATGTGTTTCAAGTCATGTGTACAGATTTTGCTGAGTCGCCACCTAAGTCCATGCTGGCATGTGCAGAACATTTGCAGGCGCTTTGTTCGAGTGAAAAGTTTTCATGGTAGCGGAGCACTGCTCGAGTCCACGGGACTGAGAGTGCATCCGGGTAGAAAACCGTAGTCGCCCATTTCGTCCGTGGGCACCCAGACCGAAGCCTTTCGTGTTGCTGACAGTGAGCTCTGGAACGAGCCAGAGTTGCTTTCTCAGTTGAGGGCTTGTGTTCTTGAGTGGTACGTAGAGCTGCAGAACACGAAGCCCCAGACTCCTTCGTTGAGCCAGCACAGTTTCTGCCGAAGGCTGTGTCTTGCAAGGGACAAGCATCATGAGAGTCTTGAGGAGCTTCAGTCAGCCACGTTGATTTTGAGTTACGGGTGCAAGCTGTTAAGCAGCGATTCGAACATACTGGACGTTTTCGTGTGGAGTTTTGTGGAGCGCCTTGGAGAGGCGCGCACTGAATCTACGGCCAGCGCTGCAGGAAAGCGTCCCACTGAGATCTGTGTGGGTGACGAGGTCAGGTCAGCATCAGCTGGAGTCTTGAGGCCAGTGTTTAAGAAGCTGAAGTCTTCAGAAGGTGCAATTGAGCTTGATTGATCAACCGACTTGCCTTTCGACATTCTTGCACGCTGTGACATATTTTCTGCCCAATTTTTACTTTGAGCCCAATTTTGCAAGACGATTTTCCAATTTTCTTGAGTGAAGCGAACGAGCCCAATCCTGATCGAGTGTGGTCACCATGGACCCCAATCCCAATCCTGTGCAGGGTCCACTTCCTGCAGGTTTTACCGATGCAAGTCAGGTCCCAGTGCCTTCAGACAGTCCTGAGGCGAGCCCACATGCTGCGCCAACACCGATTCCTGCTCTTGATCCCAACACAGCCATGATGGAGATGCTGCGAGCTGCCACTCAGGCAGCACAGGCCGCAGCAGTGAATGCACAAGCAGTGTCCCAGTTGGTAGCTAGGTCCGAGGCACAGGCCGAGGCAAGAGCTACTGGTTCATCCAGCAATTTTCAGGCGTATAAATTGCTGAAGCATCCTGACCAGTTCGGGTCAGAGAGTACTGATGCCGACGCCATCCAATGGGGCGCCTGGCTCCATGGGTTCCGAACATGGTTGTCGGTTGTCGACGCTGCTTACGAGCATGAACTCCAGGAGATCGAGGCTCGGTGTGGCGAGCCGTGTGCACCGATCGCTAATTTGCCTGCAGCACTGCAAGCCCGCAGCAGACAGCTTTATGGCATTTTGTCAACATTGCTGAAAGGCCGCCCTTTGCAAGTTCTCCGTCTTACCCCCAACCAGCATGGTTACGAAGTGCTTCGTGTGCTTGCTCAGACTTTCCAGCCGCGCACTAGAAGCAGGGCCATGGCGATTCTAAGCGCCATCATGGCCACTCCTGCCTTTGATAAGAAAACAACGATCCGCAAACAAGTGCATGCATTCGAACGCTCTTGCTCAGAGTACCTGAAAGCTTCAGGGAAGGAGATCAGCGAGGACATCCGGTTCTCGATCTTGCTGCGTTCTTTGCCAAAGCACTTGCGTGATCACATAAACTTGTCCTTGACTGAGCAGACGACGTATGCCCAGGTGCGAGAGCAGATCCTTCAGTTTGAGAATGTGACCCAAAGTTGGAACCCTTCGCGCGTCCAACAGCAGCTTCTTATGCCTGCATCCACGTCAGGTCCCTCTGACATGGAGGTTGATTCTGAGGGTGTGATTGCTCAACTTGTGGCACAGGTCAAAGGCAAGGGCAAGGGCAAAGGCAAAGGCAAGGGTAAGAGGGATGATAATGGCAAAGGTGGTAAGTCCCAGCAGGGTTCCCCTAAAGGCAATGACAAAGGCAGAGGCAAAGGCAAGCGCAACGATAGTGGCAAAGGTGGTAAGCCCCATGCTTCCCCTAATGCCTCTAAGAGTGCCAATGCCGACATCGTGTGCCATTACTGCAACAAGCCTGGTCACTACAAGAGGGATTGTAGGAAGATGCAGAGGGATCAAGCCAACAAGGATCGGGGTGGACGTGTTGCCCAGATCGAGGATCCCAAACCTTCCGACTCAGGCGCTGCAGCATCCAGTGATGGGCCTCAGCCATCCCAGCAAGGTCCAAAGTCTGTCAAAAGTATTCGGTTTGACTTGAGGGATAGTAGCCTTGACGTTGGCGGATCAGTCCGAGCCGTGACTTGCGTGCCAGCACTTGTTGAACCTGCCTTCGGTCAGCCAATGCATTTTGATATGACTTCATGCGATTCAAACAGCGAGTGGACCATGCCCCAGGATGTGCCATGTCTGGACCTGATGCCGGAAGTTCCAGGTCATGTGTTCGCCATGCATTTTGATATGACTTCATGCGATCAGGATGCCGAGTGGACCGTACCATATGACGAGCCATGCTTGAACCTGATGCAAGCTTCCCCAGGTCATGTGCGAGCCGTGAGCGGACACTCGGGTGATGAACTCCCGATATGTGTCGACACATGCGCTGATGAGTCCTGTGTTCCGTTGTCGTATGGGGGCATAGGCACGAGGAGCTTGCAAGGTCCTAGCGGCTTGTTGGATGCATCAGGAAATGCAATGCTGAATCAAGGTGTTCGGAATGCCACGTTGTTCACCGATAACTGTGAGCTTACGGATCGATGGGTTGTGACAGGAGTGAGCCAGCCAATCCTGGCAGCAGGGAAATTGCTGCGTCGGGGGTGGAGCATTGGTTCAGTTGATGGATCACTTGCACTGACGAGCCCCGATCGAGAGGCCAGCATCCCCTTGGAGTTCCAGCATAACACTCTTGTGTGTCGTGGAACGGTGCGTGCCATCAATGACCTGTTGAGCTGTCAGGTTTGCTTGAGCGGTTGTTGGATGAGCATGACCACTTCACTGAGATTGCACCGTCTGTTCATGCCGCCCGGATTGTGTCTGACAGCTACATCGATCTTAACCTGTATGCGCCGTATGAAGGCCTGGCCTATCGCACAACCTTGATGCGCCGAGCAGCGCACTTGCCATGGGAGTTGCTTGAGTTGAGCCGTTCCTTGGATGGTCCTGATGTGCCCCATGGTTTGATCGATCCTGCAGGCCCGCAGCTTGAGTTGATCGTGTTTGGTCACCGTGAAGTGATGTCACCAGCCGACCTAGGCTTCAACACTAGCACTGATGTTGCTCCTGAACAGGCAGCCGAATGTAGTCTCCCAGCTAGACTACATTTTGAGGCCCCTGAAGTTGATATGAGTGACGAGGTATTTGCTGCTGAGGCTTCCGTAGCCGAGGATGCTGACGTGGCCGAATCAGGCGAAGCCCCTCATGAGTCCATTCAGGAGGATGTGGCCGGTGAGGTAGTGATGCAAGAAGCCCTTGCAGATGAGCTCAGTGTTGATTTGCCCGAGTCAATCACCATCGATGATGTCGTGTTGACCGCCACGAGCACGCTTTCGACGTTGCGTGCTGCGTGTCAATCCTTGGGTGTGGGGAAGAGTGGCTCTCGTGCCACAGTCTTCAGTCGCCTGGTGAATCGCTTGAAGAGCATTAAGCTTGCAGAGGCAGCCCGTGCCCGCAACAACCTCGAAGCGCATGCAGTGGCTGTGCCCAAGCAGCCTGAGGAGCCGACGCCAGAACAGCGTCGCTCACATGAGGCCACACATTGCCCATATGCAAGTTGGTGCGAGCATTGTATCGCATTCCGCGGACGCGATGACAGTCATTCTGCACTGGCCAAGAGCTCAGAAGATCGCATGCCTTGCATATCCTTTGATTACGGGTTCACATCCCGAGTCGAAGGTGGGCCGAAGCTTGTTGCCTTGTATGTGCATGACAGCCAGACCGGTTGGCGAGAATGCTTTCCTGTTCCTGCGAAAGGAGGGACCCACAGCGGCACCCAAGTGATTCCCTACCTAGCCTCAGAACTGTGCAGGTTGTTAGCCTTCTTAGGGTATAGCCAGGTTACCCTTAAGTCCGATCCCGAGCCTACTTGCATTGCTTTGCAAGCTGAAGTGCGTAAACTGCGGCTGAGTATGGGCCTGAGGACCGTGTGTCAGCAGGTTCCGGAGGGATCTCACCAAAGCAATGGCGGTGCCGAGATGTGTGTTCACACTGTGCGTCAGCTTGCTGGATCACTGCTTGCGTGTTACGAAAGCAAAGCGAAGCAGAAAGTGAAGAGCCTTGACCCGATCCACAGCTGGGCCATGCGTCATGCTGCCTTCATCTTGAACAGGTTCCAGGTGCAGTCCGGGGGTTTGACCGCGTTCGAGGCAGCGATGGGTCGCCCCTATCGCGGCGCTTTGATCCCTTACGGGGAAACTGTCATGATGCTTGTGCCTCAGGCTGGACAGGGAGCTAAAGGGAAACCGCGTTTCATCCAGTGCCAGATGCTAGGGAAGGTTATGGTCAGCGACCAATGGATCGGCGTGTCCAGTGCAGGCCGCCTTGTGTTGGCCAGGACCGCTAGGAGGATGTCGCCTGAGTTTCCGCCGCAGGATCACACCGTCCTTAAAGACCATCCGTGGAACCACCCTGGGTTCATCGCTGGGTCTGCTGGACGAATGCGTGCACAGCGACAGCCTAAGGTCGTCTTGCCTTCCGGGCTTTCTCCACTATTGGCATCTGGTGATGGCGGGGGATTGAAGGCTGGCGGGGTTGACTTGATTGAGACAGGTCAACCAGTTGTGCCAGGTGATGTCAGTCCCAGTTTCAGCCTGCCTTACTCGCCAAGCATTGCCCCTGAGCAAAGCCCTAATACTGTTGCAGCATCTGACCCCAGTTCCTCAAGCGACTCAGAGTCTGCCAAGGAAGCCCCAGCCGCAGCTGAGGCATCACAACCAGTGCCGGCAGCCTTGCCGATGGATGAGTCCATGCCCCTGGTCCATGAGCATCCCGAGGCAGAAGGTAATGATGACAGATCTAAACGTGCCCGCATTGCAGCCTTGCAGTTTGAGCATGGTGAAGAGGACCCTGTCGAGTTCGATGTCGAGCAGTGCGAGCACATGTATGATCATGATCTCGATGTCGATGATCGTGAAGAAGATGCTGAGCCAAAAGCATCCATTCCACTTGAGCTGTACTACCCTTTTAGCCCTGAGGAGCCCCAGTTGTCTCGTGAGGAGCTGGAGCATCTTGACTCTGTGGCAGATCAGCATGAGATCACCCGTTTGCTTGGCATGAACGTTCTTGAGGACAATGCCAGTTGCAAGTTAGGTGGAGGTTCCAAAGTGTTGTCGACGCGTTTCGTTCGAACGTGGCGTGTCAAGCCACACCCCGTCACTGGGGAGCCTTCGTACCTGCGTCGCAGCCGCTTGGTTGCGAGAGAGTTCGCAAGAGACGACCAGTCAAGAACCGGGCTCTACTCGCCCGCAAGCCAGCAGCTACTCACCCGACTGTTGCCTGCCTTGTGGAGTTCCCGGCCAGGCCACATCATGATGTCCCTTGATGTCACGGATGCTTATCTGTGCGTTTCGCAGACCACCGATGTTTGGGTGTCTTTGTATGGCCAAAGCTATCAGCTACGAAGGCTTTTGCCGGGGCAACGCGAAGGGAGCGCCCGTTGGTATGAAGTGTTTGCTGCTGCACTGACAGAGGCCGGAGCAACGGCCTGGGATGCCTGCCCAGCACTATTTCGCTTGCGTGACAACCAGGGTGCTGCATTGACGCACGTTGACGACTTGCTTGGTGAAGGGGAGCATGAAGCCCTGAGACGCTTGACCGATTTCTTGTGCACCAAGTTTAAGTGCAGCGTGCAGTTCCTTGTGAAAACTGGCGATAGCATCAGCTTCCTGAAACGCGAGCACTGTTTGACTGCCGACAACACCTTGGTGATCCGTAGCCATCCGAAGCATCTTGAGCGACTCATGGAAATCACTGGTGTAAAGCATGGGCATTCTGGCAAGAACACACCGATGCCCTTGCAGGTTCCCGACCTGGGGGAATCTCCCTCCTGAGCCCTGATGCTCACGCGCGATATCGGACTGCAATCGGGATACTACTCTATATACAGTGTGAAATCCCTCAAGGCCAGTGCGGGATAAAGGTGCTGAGTCAATACCTCTCGGGGCCAACGCAGGCCTGTTGGACTGCTCTTCGACACCTCATTAGGTACTTGAGCACGACAGCTTCGTGGACGCTGGCAATGGTGAGGTCCGACCGAGGCATAGGTGTCAGGGCGAGAAGCCCAGATGCAGAGCGGGACCTGGTCGAGTGTTACACCGACTCAGATTGGGCCGGCGATCGCAGGAATCGCAAGTCAACAAGTGCGATGGCGATTTTCGTAAACTCTGTGTTCTTGATGAGTGCCAGTCGGACTCAGAAAGCCCTCTCCCTTAGTTCGTGCGAGGCAGAGTACACCGCAATGGTGGGAGGAGCTGCTGACATGCTTTATGTGGGGGCAGCCGTGGAGTTCCTGTCGAACACTCAGCCCTCCTTGCACTTGTTTTGCGATTCATCCAGTGCCCGTCAACTTGCAGCCCGCCGTGGATGTGGCAAGATTCGCCACTTGCAGCTGAAGTTGTTGTGGCTCCAAGAGAAGCTTGCCTCTGGAGCATTTCAGCTACACCCAGTTCCTACCAAGGACAACCTGTCTGACCTGCAAACCAAGTCTTTGAAGGCCGAGCGCCAGCAATTTCTCCTGTATCACTACGGGATGATTGACGAAAGCAATGGCGGCAAAGCCATAGGCGAGAACCTTGTCAGCTATGAGGACGAAAAAAGGTCCATACAGCTTGCTGTGAAAGCCATCCGGAACGTCGGTCGAAGCCAAAGCGGGATGTCGAGCATCCTGAGAGTGCTGACGTTACTTGCCACGATCGAGTCAGCAGGGGCTGTTAGCGCCTTGGGCCTGGTTACCTGTGACCGAGCAGACTCTGTGTTGCCTGGACTTTTCCTGGTTTTCTTGATATGCGCTTTCTTCACGGCGTGGAGCAATGTGAAAGGGTGTATCTTGATTGCAGCTTGCTTCAGCGTGTTGACAGCACAGGGATGCGACACCGAGCAGCCCGAGTACGCAGACCAGATCGTGCGGCAAGGGTTTAGGGTAGGATGGGTATTTAGTCTAGAGGTTGATTGGTGCCACCACTGGGTTACAGCCGTGCCTGGGTTGCCGGTTAGTGGGTTGGCTGTAGGGTTGTCAACCATAGTGGTTTTGGCCGTAGGGTTATCGGCCATAGGTGGTTGCCTGCCTGACCGACAGCACTCAGTGACACGCGCTCCAACCGTGCTTGAGCGTCCTTCTTGCAACGACCCTGAGACTTTTGAGGAAGAATACCTGTCTTGCGATGAGACTTCAGATGAGGATCGCGACCCGAGTGAAACGGCAGAGTCTGACCGACCTGTGTCAGCACAGTCAGATGATGGTTGGCAGTGGCAGGACTACCTGGACTGGCTAGCTAATCTTGACCCAGAGGAGTACCGACAGATTCATGCTCTGTCAGAGCCCGATTCCGAACTAGCCATGCATGATGCCATACTTGATGTCGTGCCTGATGATGGGGCGACTGCTGCGCCCAGTGCTGGACCTGCCGAGCCTGAAGGACCACTTGTGTACATTGCCCGACCTCGTGGACGAAGCTTGCACATCCATGCCGAGTGTTCTGCCTTGCGCAAGTCGAGGACAATCATCACGTGCACACTTGTGGAGGCCCGACAGCGTTTCCCTTTTTATGCATGGTGTCAGCTTTGCACTTGAAAGAATCCGCGTGACGAAGTTTGGCATCCTGTTGCCATTCGCCCAAAGCTTAACATGCAATCTTGTGAAACAACTTGCGTGCAGCCTGACCTACCTTGGTCAGTGACACTTGAGCTTTGCAATACCTTTATTGCCCGACCTTTGTGTGATACTCCGAAGGGGATTCGAAGCAGCCGAGGCTTGTGCACTATAGTGCGTTGCTTGCCAGACCTGCCAGAGCCCACAATCCAGTAGGGATTGCAATCTTGTGAATTTGCCGTGTTTGACATGCATGGATCCTACCTACTTGGACTTTTGGAGACATATGCGATGCAAGCCTGCATCCAACACCACGCTTCAGATGTGCTCCATGCCCATCCGGGCCACACGCGCAATGCGTGCTCCAAGTGCCGGCCGTGGCACCTTTAAGTCAGTGTAGGTAGCGAAGTTTCACTTGACGCCCTGGACTGAGGTACATCCTCGCATGGCATAGCAGACAAGACCGAGACAGAGCGTGTCAGTATGGATGTGGCGACATTTTAACTAGTTTGTGGTGTTCCCACTCTCCCAGATTTCAAGTCAGAAGTATTCCCAAAGCCTTTTCTGTGTTTTCCGGTGGATGCTTTTGGAGGGCATTCGAAGTGCATTGGCGCAAAAATCCGAAGAAGTGCAGCTGAAGTTTTGGAGCTACGACGCTCGTGCAAATCTTGGTGCACTTGGCGGGGTGCTTAGGATTTTGGGGTCTGGAAGGGGAGTGGATGGGATGTGAAGATGGGGGTGATGGAGTGATGATCTCTCACGCCTCAAACATGTGTTTCAAGTCATGTGTACAGATTTTGCTGAGTCGCCACGTAAGTCCATGCTGGCATGTGCAGAACATTTGCAGGCGCTTTGTTCGAGTGAAAAGTTTTCAGTCTTGCTTCTCTATCCAAAGCGGTCCGGGGAGTTCCGCAGCGTGACACGTTAGTGGTTCTAGGAGATTTCAACTCTACGCTGAACACAAGTGTGGGAGTTGTGGGTACCTGCACTCCGGGATCTCCGCAACATCGCTCAGCTGAAGATGCATACTTTCAGCGCCTAGTGCAAGGACATGGATTAGTTGCGCTCAATACATGGTCCTCGGGATCAGGCTTGACGTTCCACACTGCCACTTCAGAGTCCCAAATCGATTACATCCTGGTCCCGAAATCATTGGCGCGTGGAGAATCTAAGCAGAGCAAACCCCTGACAGACTTCCCGCTGGGACGGTGGAAGAAAGGAGGACATTACCCTGTCGAGGCTAAGATTCGCCCCCTAAGGCACTGGCAACTTTCCTCCCACCCTCCCCCCCCCCTCCCTATGATAAGCAGGCTCTCGAAGAGGCGGTGCGATATAATCATCCCAAAGCACAAGCAATGAAAGAGTGGGTTGCTGACCAGCTCTCTCAGATCACCACGGTTGACATGGAAGAGGTTAATGATGTGCTAATCAAGGCGTCTGCACGCTACTTCCCAAGAGCCCCTAAGCCCTCCTCCCCTCCCCTTAATGCGATGCACAGGGCAACCAAGCGCATGTGGGCCAGGTTGACGGCCTTGGATGAGGACTTAGCCAGCTCAACGCTCTCGCTGGCAGATCACGAGATACTGGTGCAGGACCTCTCCATGTGGCACAAGCAGGCTGTCACAAGAGCACGTAGACAACGCCTAGCAGATTTCACTCACGAGGTAGACCAATCTACACAAAGTGGTAACTCCTATCAGGCTCATAAGACATTGCAGAAGCTCCGCCCCTGGCAGCCGCAGCCCAAAACGCAGTTAGTCAACAATGATGGCTATTTGATGGCTGCAGAAGAGGAACTCAAGCTCATGCAAAACCATGCCAAAGCAGTGTTTCAACGGCATGACAGACTACGATTTGAAGTCTGCAGCCTGCCAACGCTCTCAGCCCCCCTGCTTTCGAAGCACATCAGCTCCATCAGACCACACAAGGCTGTCCCTCAGAACTCAGCGTCGGCAGCCGCGTGGAAGCTATGTTCCGACTCGGCCAGCGAGCGCCTGGCAACGTACTGCAACGACCAAGCCCGCAAAGCTGAGCACAGCTCGCTAGACTCGGCAGTGATCCTCTCTGCACAGCTGAAGGACACTGACCTCTGCTTTATCCCGAAGCCCAACAAGCCCCCAACCAAGCCCTCTAATCTTCGCCCGCTTGGAATCATAAGACCGGATGGCAAGGGTCTGGCGGGGGCGTGCAGAGATCTCCTGGCTCCCTAGGCCCTATACCTCCAGCTACCTGAGGTCGGTGCCACAGTTCGCTTACCAACCTCAAAGAGGACTTTCTGATGCTCTCTCCAGAGTCTCGAAGCATACCAGAGAGGTACACCAAATGTGCGCACAATCGCGGCTTAGCAGGCACTCCCAGCATGCTGGACACCGCAAACCAGAGCTGGTGGGAGGGATCTGCTTTGCGCTTGACTTATCACAGGCATTCGACATGGTTCGCCGCCAGGACCTCATGGACACTCTTCAAGACGCTGGGGTACCGTCAGACATCCAGGGATTAGTGGCATCACTGCACTCAAACAGTCGCTACACAGTACGATCCCAGCAGACCTCGTGCTCTGTTGAGTCCACAACAGGCATTAAGCAAGGGTGTAAACTAGCTCCAACCCTGTTCTCCTTGCTGACAGGAAAGCTATTCCGAGAACTCGCAGAGGTCGTAGGCTGGGATCGCGTGCTGCATATAGCTTGACGGGCTACGCAGATGACTTAACTGTTCATCACACTGTCACCAGCTGGAGAGATTTGCTGCAAGCGCACAACATGATAGCTGATCTTCTCCGCATTGTCAGAAAATATGGCTTTAAAGTGAACGCTGACAAGTGTCACTTAATGGTTAAGCTAACAGGCACTGCCTCAGCCCGTGCACACAAACTTTTCAGTCACACAAGCCTAGACGCCCAGGGAGTACAACACCGCAAATGGCGCATTGGGAGCACAAAAGCCCAGGAATCATTCCCGCAGCCCACATCCTTTAAGTACCTTGGAGTGTACGTTTCCTATGGCAACCAGGAAAAGGCGACGTTGGATTTTAGATTGCAGGAGGGCAATGCCAAGCTGCAACAAGTCCGACGATATGTGCACAACCAAAAACTCTCAGGTCCGAAAAGCAGACTGAAGATTTGGCGCACAACAGTCTGGGCGACGGTCTCGGCGGGTCTAGTGGACATAGGGCTCACAACGGAGACAGCGCAACAACTGCGAAGGTGGCACGCCAGAAAAATCAGGGCGGTCCTCAACAAACCCGTCCATCTTACGGGCATATCGACGCATCACCTGTATGCAGCCTACGGCATCAAGGATCCAATCCAGCTGCTGCTGGAGCGCCAGAGCAACAGAGTCAGATCGCTCAGAACCAGACAGGAAACCCAAACAAGGCCTGCTGCACTGCATGAGGCTCCGAGAGATGCACAGCATCCACACGGCCATCAGGATGCTGCGCTGCTCCCCAACGCTCTTCAGTACGCGCAAGAGGTTCAACCGCGAGGAATGTCCTGGCTTTTGACCCGTGACGCACCATTTGCCTTTGACTTGGCCTGAGCAGGCCGAGCAGCAGACCTTAATGGCTTTGGTCAATAGTGCGCTTTTGTCTGGGAGCCCTGTCATCCTCGGCTCGGCCTGTTGAGTTTGGCTGATTCTTCTCCTACACTCGACCTGGCGGGTCATGCAAAAGTCACATTGTCTTGAGGGAGGGAGCCTATCGCAGAGCTTTCACTTTCCCTTTCCACGTTTGTTCCCCTCATGTGGACATTGCTGCTGGCTTTGCATTGAGCTCAGGCAACCGTCCTCGCATTCAGCTCGACTTCTTCGTGCTGTGCTCGGGCGTACCACTGCAGGCTTTGGCACATGTGTATTCATTTCAGGGCTTTGCAGGATTGGTGTCCCCGAGCTTGGGAACAGTTAGATCCTTGCACATGCTGCTGTATCGCTTATAGTATCTGCTCTTGGCAGTTCAATGCTTTGCCTCTCAGAGCGGGCTCCACTAGCTGTTTGCTTCAGGCCCCAGGGGGCTCTGGGAGATCATCTCCATTTTGCTTTGCACTCAGAGCATCTGCTTGCCTGGCATATTTTCAGTGCTTCTGCTGGCTATCTAGACTGGAAGGGCTTTTTGCTTTTGTATGCCTAGTGCCCTCACGCATGTATCATAAGTTCATAGCTTTACTTTGTCGTTGCCTCCGGCTTTGGAACCGATAGGTCCCTGCACGTGCTTCTTTGTTGCTGTATGCTTTTTGTATCTGCCCATGGCAGTTCCGGGCTTTGCCACTCAGAGCGGGCTCCACCAGTGTGCGATTCAGGCTCCGGTAAGCCCTGGGAGATCAATGCTTCTGCCGGCTATCCTGACCTAACAAAGGCCTTTCTGCCTTGGTGTGCATCTTCAGGGCGTCGCGCACCAGCAACTGCGCTACTCAGGCAAAGCTTGCGATTCAGAGCTTCGCGGGCCCCTAAGACTTTGGAGGGATGCGTCTCTGTGGCTTCGGCTTTTCTCCCTCTTGGCATCAGACATCCGACAGTGCGAGCTTTAATCGAGCCGTTCAGGTCCGGCTCGCGTCGCTTTGGCCTGGTCTCCAGGGCTCGAGGGGACCCTAGCGGACCGCCTCCATCACGCTCAGCGCTCAGTTTTGTCGAATGCCGTGCGATCCTTCAGAAGTTCTGCAGTTATCCCGGACTTTGCAAAGAATCACGTCCCTGCGTGGCAGCTTGCGAGTGCTCCCTCCAGCACATGCATTACGCATGACAGCTGCCTTTTCAGAGCTTTGCATGGCTCGAGTTACAAGGGGACCCTCTAATGAGTGGCCTTGTCATATTAACTTGGCATACTTTGCAGCAGACATGCCATTGATACACGCGTCAACAGCATCAGCCAGTCCCGCATCCGTTTCCTTTCAGTCACTCCTCTCGAACAATGTCAACTTTGCCCTTGCAATCGGAGCAGGCCTCTGAGACGCTCCAGCTGACGCCCCGGAGATTCCGCCCGGGTACTCACCC